TCTTTTATTGAGTTGTAGTGTTTTTTATTAAAAAAAAAAATTGTATAATTATTTTTTTTATTAAATAAATATTTTAACATCAAAAAAATACATTCGTCTTTAAGAAAAAAAAAGTTGCAATTTTTTTAATTGAGCGCAGTATTTAAAAATTGTAAGTTTTTTTGGGTGTGCGCAGTATTTGAAAAAATTGAAAGTTTTTTGGTGTGCACAGTATTTAAGTTTTTTTTTTAATAATCATCAGTAAATCGCATAATTTACAAATTCTTATCGCATAATTATTATTCTTATTAAGTATCTAAGTTTTTTTTTTTTTAATAATCATCAGTAAATCAAATATTTTGCATATACTGCACGCATAATTTACAAATTCTTATCGCATAATTATTATTCTTATCACATAATTATTAAGTATTTAAGTTTTTTTTTTTTAATAATCATCAGTAAATCGAATATTTTGTATATACCGCATGTATATTAAATTTTTAATCGAATTTCATAGGTTGGGATATAGTATTGTAAAACATATAAAAAAAAATTGTTTATCAGTTGTGTAACAATCGGGTGACTCAGTTTATTATTTCCATATTGGGGACAGTCTCACCTGAAGTCTAATAGCAATGAATTAAATAATGAAATTGTGCCTGATGATAATGATAATTCTGGTATAATAATAATAATAATACTATGCTGATATAAGTATTTAAAAAAAAATGTTTAAAAGTTTTATGAATTTTATTAATTTGGCATTTTTTTTAGCTCCAACAATGTTTCTGAATCCGATCATGGTAATCTTAAAACTGAACAACCGTATGTATTTAAAGTATACTTATAAGGTTTGTAATATATTTATTAATTTTTTATTATTTTAGAACCAATAACCCTAAAACAAATAATTCCGGCACATCTAACTCCACGTCTAACTCCACATTTAACTCTACGCCTAACTCTACACCTAACTCTATGTCTAACTTCATGTCTAACTCTTCTATACCTAACTCTATATCTAAATCTATGTCCAACTCTACTACGCCAAAATCTATATCCAATGTGTCTAACTCTACAACATAGAAAAGTAATTTCCAAAAAATAAAGATTCTAAAAGCTCTTTTAAAAGTTTTACTTCTTCCAAAGGTTCTTCTAAAGGTTTTTCCAAAGGTTCTTCAAAGGATCTACTAAAAGTTCCTCCAAGAGAAGAGGTCGTCTGAATGTTCCTACTAGTAACTTCAATTATATCAGAGATGAAGACGAAGATTACAATAATCAGCAAATAGAAATTTGATTTTTTAGTAATTGTATGTGATTAGTATTAGTGAAAATTGTAAGCAAAAATTTGGAATGCAAATCGAATATATATAATACATATATCTTATGAAAGATAGATATAATAAAATATAAAGCAATAAGAGGTGTGGCGGCTTAGTGAAGTGGTCTAGTCATCACTCTCTCCAAGCAGCAGGTCTAGAGTTTGAATCCCATAAACGATGATTTTGAAAGATTGGATTAGAGTATCTGTAACTTAAGTCACACCAGGGCGTAGTATTCCTGGAAGATCCACTGGCGTTAGTACAACTAAGGAAACTCAGAGATCACGAAAGAATGCAAACCGGCTTAGGGCAGTGCAAACTCTTGATAAGTCCAAGATTGTGTAAATCTTAGGAATCTCTTTCACATACAGGAACCTGCTTGGGAAGTCCCAAATCAAGATTAGTGGCTAACTTTTGACGGTACTACAGAGTAAAGACTATATTGGGAACTCAACCGGAGGCCTAACGATCATGACCCTTATAGGCGGGGTTACACCAACCTGGCCATTGGAGGATGAGGAGACTCTACAGGCTAACTGGATTGGAAGAAGGGATGTCTCTGGAGCCGAACTCATGCGTCAGGAAATGTTGGTACTGGGGTTGGTTATGAACTTAATAAGGGCAGAAGTAAAGTAATGAAG